CAGCTGTTGATGGCCCAACCCCTCAGGTCCCAAGTAGTGGAAACATCTCCACCATGGATCCAACACCTTCATCCTTCCAAAAAGGAGCCCTTTGTTTCGTAGACACCCACCGATATTTGGCCCTGAGGCCCTAAGACTGTTTTTCTCTCCCCTCCTGTCACCCACTGATTCCAGATCTTAGCTGGCGATTATTCTCGAGCTCCATCAAAGCCCAGAATTCGCAATAAAAAAGAACCATGAGCCGACCCGGCTTTGATCCTGCCTCAGTGGATGCCAAGAGCTCTGCTGCAATTGACAGGGGTCAGGACCGGGGCCAGAGCCTTCTCCCACGGGAGGCAGGGACAGGGTCTCTGAAACCAGAAACCTCAAAATCCACAGGCCTCAACCCCAGTGACTGATAGATAACCTTTCTTTATCTAACTCCCATGCCCCCCAAATACCTTCAAACCTATTTTGACACAAGATGGGTTAGGTTCAATTCTGAGTCTCAGCCACACTGCACCTGGGCACCCTGATCTCCTGTTCTCCCCCCCCCCCCAGCCCTGCTCCCAGCTGCAGCCAGCAATGTCCCACTGACCCCAGCCTAAGCCTCCCTCGGCTCCTGAGTGCTCACAGACGCCATTCTTTCAAAGCGCCTTATTTCCAACCACACGGTTTAGTCCTAGACCCACAAAGACCAGAACTTTCTGCAAGGATGAAAATGTCCTTCCACACTGTATACATGGCTACTGAACAACTGAAATACGGCCAGCAACTGAATTTTTAATTTAATGTAGTTTAATTAATTCATGTTAATGAATTTTAATTTAAACAGCCACATGTAGATAAGTGACTACCACATTGGACGGTGCAGTCCTAGCCCACATGTGTTAATTTCACCTTCTCCAGATAGGTTTCTTGACTCTCAAAATTTTACAGGCCACTGTTTACATCTGTATCCTCCCAGCAATCAAGCTTATGGTAGATACTCAGCAAACTGTTAACTAAATGCAACTATATGTGACATAAAAGAGGACGGTTTGGCCAATGCAACTTTCCTCACCTTGTTATTCCATCCAGCAAACCCCAACCTGGGACGCCGCCTGTCACCCAGCCACACTACCTGTCTTGCTCTCCGCAGGTGCCAGCATGAGGAGTGCAGGACAGAAGGTGGTGCCTGCGCTGTGGGCATGTGGGAGCTCTGGCTCCTCCCTCCAACAGTGTCCAGACCAATCACGAGAGGCTCCAAGATCTCTCCTTCTGGACACCAAAGGAAGCCACACTGCAGTGGCACTTACATGACCTAGGGAGGGGACCGCTGGAGAAATGAATGGAGAAGAAACTCCAGGACCAGGTTTTCTCTAATCCATGCAATGGAAAGATAAACAGAGATAAGTTATGACAACACTCTACATTTAGCAAAGCAATAACATGCTTAACCTAATCAGAGCTGCACAGGAGAGATGGACAATGGTACGGGGGTTTAATTAAATTTGTTCAGCTAATACCTAAGAGTCACTCTGACACAGTAAGCAGGAAGCAGCTGAGGAACCCCACAGTGAATACAACCAATTAATACACAAGTGGGTTGAGACGAGGTATCCTTATCAAAGAAATAATTAATAGAATTCCCATGTTCTTGCGCAGAAAATAAGAAGCAAGGCTTCTATCAAAACTCCCTAGAAAAAGGAGGGAGCAGTAAAAAAGCTTGTTACAGCAGGTCCAAACCTCATGGAGCTGCAGAGTTGGTTTCGAAGCTACCCCTCCAACCTTGGGATTGTTGGGGAACTGGCAAATGACCCACCCAGCCTCCTCCCTGACAGTCAAGGAAGGGCCCGAGGTGAGAGAATACCTCTTAGGCTCCCGGCACTCCAGAGTCACTACAGTTAGGAATTGAGAAGTGCCTGAGAATGGGAGTCAAGTGACCTGGGTTCCAATCCTGCCTCCGACATGTGAATGGCTGTTAACCTTGAACAAGTCACTCTCCCACTCTGGGCCTTGGTTTTCTCATCTGCAAATTGAGGGGGCTGGATGAGATGACCTCTCGAGTCCCTTCCACTCTGACAGGAAGTGTAAGTATGACTCAGAATTTAGCAAGAGCAGCCAGGAGAGATGGTGAGGTGAGGTCACAGCACCCACCAAAAGCACTTAAATGTTAGCTGTCAGAGGCGGAGAGAGAAAAGCAGCAGGGTGAGCTGGGACCATTTCTTAAGCACTGATTTCACTTAGCAGGGCTAAAAGGTCACCAGACCACAGTCAGAGCAGGGCATCCGGACAGCCACCAGCTCCCACCAACTCTCAGGACTGCAAGACAGCAGCCTTCTGAACCCCAGCAGAGGCCAGGCGGCCGGCCGGCTCGCAGCTCTGCCCTAGACCCCCAGGGGTGGCCTCAGCACACTGTGTAGAGTAGCCGTCCCCTCCCTTTTTCTCGGGCACCTTCCCATGGGGTAAACCCTCCTGCCCGCCCCACATCTTCCCCTCTTGCTTTATAATCCAGACTCCTGGCTTTAAAAATCATTTCACTACTCAGCACCTAAAGTCAATCAAATTTCAAGATCCTAAAAATCTCTTTGGTGTGTTTCTGGAACAGGATTCTCTGAACCAGATTGCCCCCACAGCTGTAATTATGTCTTAGCCAACATTTGGATATGGGAGCGCTGTTGACACTGCTGTCAGTCTCCAAATGCCTTTCTTCCTCTATTATTAAGTTTTAACACAAAAGATGTGTGGGGAATCTGCAATTTAACAGTTGAGTCAACTTGTAAGAGCTGGGAGCAGGCTGCCTGTCAAAGCAGACTCTGACGTTACTCTTCGCCCACTTCTGACCTGAGGATAAGCTACGAGTGGTATTTAATATACTGCTGGATTTTTTCCTTTCAAAACTATTAAAAGGAGAAAAATATCCAAACCTCTCTCCTACTATTAAGTACAACAGAACTCTGGAGTGCCACCCAAAAGCATTTTGGAGGATGGTTCTGTTTGTGTGTCTATTAAATAGAATAAGGAGAAGGTGAGGGCTTTTGTTCTGAAGTCTTTATATAATATTGCAACTATTCAAGAGAATGAACAGCCAGTGTCCGCAGACTGCTGATGAGTGAAGGCAGATGGTGCCTCAGAGAGGCTAGAAAACTCTCTTGGAAAGAATGTCGCTCAACGGTACAGGTTAACTGTGGTCAAACTGTATTCACTCAAGGTCAAAGCCACCGTCATTCCAAACAGCCCTCCTCTCCCTCAGTTATGAGGATGGAAAGAGAACTCTAAGGCACAAATATTAAAGCATTCAAGATACTGATTTATTTTTCCTCTCAAACAGTCAACAAACAGTAAACAATAACTGAGATACCACAGCAAGAGGCTATGAGACTAACCAAAGAAGTCTGGCAGTGTTGAGTATGAAAGTAGCAAGGAGAAAGGATTCTAGAGGCCTTAAAAATCTAGAAATCGGACATGTTTGCCCTCTACAACCCCGAAGTGCCTGTTTTTTATTACATCCGACTGTATATTCCAACAGTTCTACCCACAACTCATATCTGAGTTCTGTATTTGATAACTGAAATACAGCTAGATGTGGGGGTTGAAGGGAAGAGAAAAACATAACACAGGAAGCATTTTTTTCTTCCTCCAATCATTAAGACAGCCCAGGGTAAATAAACCTTAGGTGTCACCTTTAGAGATTAGTTTGACCTCAAACCCCTAAGAAGAAAACCTTGTTGATGACTCTGAACGACTGACTGGCTCACACTTCACTAGGGGTCCACCCAACTCATCAGACCCCAAGTCCACGCTGTGTAACTTCTAAAGTGGGGATCCCCGTTTGAATCCCCATTCTCCTCCTACCACCCGTTCAAGGAAAAAAAAAAAAGAAGAAAGAAAGAAAGAAAGGCTGGGTTTCCCTAGCTCAGGGATAAGGTTTCCTCCTACTGCCCGGGTCGGGGACGCAAGTGGCCGGCTCCGGTTTGCGGGATCAGCACCCGGCTCCACCGCGGTTCACACACTCGGTTTACAGCGATCAATGGAGCTATGGAAACCGCAGACCTCGCGCCGGAGCCTGCCGGCCTCCCATCTGGAGCCTCCCGGGCGCTGATGTAGGAGGGGGCCTGCCCCTGGACCAAAACAATCCCTCCCCCGCGCGCGCGGGGGGCGGCGTCTCCGCGGAAACCTCCAGCCTCCACCTCCCCGGCCGGCGCGCCCCAAGGCGGCACAGCCGGCTGCCCTCGCGAGGCCCGGGGAAGTGAAATCACACATTCCGGCTCCCAAATAAGGAGCGAGGTTAAATAAACCTCTGCGATCCGACTTCTCCAAACCAGCCGGCCAACCGGCTCAATGAGTAATGGGCCTTTTGTGCCCGCAGAAAGAGGAGGAGGAGGAGGAGGAGGGAGGCGAGGATGGAGACCCACAAGCCCCCGAAAACCGCCTCCTCGAGGCGGGGTGGAGTTAGCAGAAGTGGTCCCCACCGCAGCCGTCCCCGCCCGGCTGGACCCGCTCAAACCCCAGGATGGCAGAGTCCCCAGGGGTCCTCCCGTGTCCCCGGCACTCTCGCCCGGGAGGTGACCGGAACCGAGGTCCGGGCGGCGCGGTCCCCATGGACCCGCCTCCCGCCGCCCAGCCAGCACCGCTCCCTTCCGGGGCACCCCGGCCGGACAGCCCCACCACGGCCGCCCTGCGCCCCGACAGCCGGCGCCAGCGCAGTCGCCGCCGCGGCGCGCGCGTCCGCGCCGGGCCCGTCCCCGCCCGGGAGCCCGTCCGCGCCGGGAGCCCGCGCGCCCCGAGCCCTCCGCGCCGGGACCCCGTCCCGCCCCGGACCGGTCCCGCCGAGCCTCGGCGCCCGGACCCCGTCCCCGCCGGAGCCCGTCCGCGCCCTGAGCCGTCCGCCCCTGAGCCCGGTCCGCGCCCTGAGCCCGTCCCCGCCCGGGAAGCCGTCCCGCCCCGGAGCCCGTCCGCCGGGAGCCCCGTCGCGCGGGAGCCCGCCCCGGAGCCCCGTCCCCGCCCGGGCGCCCCGTCCGCGCGGGGCCCAGACCTACTTTCAGGGCGAATTTCTCCTGGGTGCGCTTGCTGAAGATCTGCAGAACTTTGCCGTTGATGCCCAGCCCCAGGACCTGGCTGTTGACCTTGTAGTCGTCGATGATGGCGTTCTTCCTGATCTGCAGGCTGGACTTGACGTGGAACTGCGGGAACTGCTGCGGGCGGCGCGCCGGCGTGCGGGGCCGGCGCGTCGCGCGCGCGCCGCGCGCGCGAGCGCGCCGGCGCGGCCTGGCCGCGGCGTTGGACATCATGTGCCCGCGCCCCGCTCCTCCGCGACGGCCCCGCCGCCGCGCCCGCCGCGAAGTTTGGCTCCGCTGGCCCGGCGCCCCCCCGCCCGGCTCCAGCTCGCGGCCGCGGGGCTCCGTGGTCCGCCGTGCGCGCTGGCTCCACCGCCTGCTCCCCCCCCGGGCGCCTGGCGCTCTGGGGCACGCGCGGCGCGGGGCGGCCGGGGGAACGCCGCGCGAACGACAACCAGCCGGCCGGCCGCGTCACAGCCTCGTCTGCGTCCGGGGCCGGCCTTAAAGGGAGGCCGGGGCGGCTTTCGGGAGCGTGGTGGGGGAGGGCGGCCTTAAAGATCGCAGGGCGCCGGCGCGCGCAGGGCGGTGGCTGGGGCCCGGGGCTGCAGCCTGGGGGACAGGGAGAGGAGGCGAAGAAGAAGATCCTCGTTCTTAACTAGGGCCAAGCAAAGGGAAGGGAGAGGTGTGCAAAAGTAGCTGTGCAATTCAGGTAGAAAATCCACATTTCTCTCCAGTTGCCTTCATCTATTAGACAGCAGCCGCGAACCGGGTGGGAGAGGGGGTGTATTTTGAAGGCGAGGAATGACTGGTAAGCATCCAGCCAGGTGAGACCTCAGCGGTGACCTGGAGTTACGCAGGCCATTCATCCGGGGACAGGTGGGAGGCAAATGCGCATTAAATATTAATACTTTCTTGGACATGTTCCTCTGAGTCTTGCATTTCTTTTCTCATAAATTTGCTACTTTTCAGTAAAAATATACTATTATGTAACCACGAGCACTTTAGTAAGCATACCTTTGAACATTTTTTTCATGTAAATAACCAAAAAGCATACAGGGTAGGAAGAGGATGGGTTGAGATTCAGGCTGCCTGAATTCCCACGAGTCTTTGCCACTGCCCCGGCCTGCGACCCTGAACCAGCCCTGCCCTCTCTCGCCATGGGAAGAACGGCAGTACCTCTTCACAGTGTCGTGGAGAGGATCAGAAGAGACAATGTAACAAACGGGGGAGGTCTCAGCAATGGGTTCTGATTTCCACGTGGAAATATTAGTCCCTGAACATACAGCCATAAGAAGTGGGGTTTTTTTGAAGCCTAGTTCTTGTCCAGGTTAGCCCTGTGTCTCTTGAGGAAGACACCCGGGATCTGGCTGGGCCCATAGCATAGCCCTGATCAAGGAGGGGATTGTGGAGGCCCTGAATGTAAGCTGCCAGAGGCCTCTGTACTCATTCTGCCGGGTTTGGGGGTGGTCATCAAATACACCCCAGTGACCTCCAGCCTCTGACTGCTAGAGCAGTTGAGGAATAAGACAAAGGAACCACATAGGTGAGGACAAAACCTCAGCTTCATTACTGATAAAGCCAAATTAGAGAATGAGGCTTGACCTATGGCCACAGATGGCCCCTGGTAAGTCCCCAGAGAGAAGAGAGCACCCTGAAGAAGAAGGATGGGACCAGGTGGGTTAGGCATATGTGCGGGGACCTCTCCCCTCCTTCACCTTTCCCAGAAGCCATCTGTCCTGCATGGAGGCAGGAATGAGGGAGCGGACAGAGCTGGCCCTAACGCAGATTTTTTTTTTTTTTTAGAGACAGAGTCTTGCTCTGTCAGGCTGGAGTGCAGTGACTGATCAGCAGCCTCCGGCTCCTGGGCTCAGGCAATCCTCCCACCGCAGCCTCCCCAGTAGCTGGGACTACAGGAGTGCACCACCATGCTCGGCTAATTTTTTAATTTTTTGTAGAGATGGGGTCTTGCTACGTTGCCCAGGCTGATCTCAAACTCCCAGCCTCAAGCAATCTTCCCATCTCCACCTCCCAAAGTGCTGGGATTACAAACGAGAGGCATCATGAGCCACTGCACCCGGCCCCTCTTTTGAAGCAGCATTTATTTAGTGCTGTGTACCAGGTGCCATGCTCAGCCCTGCTGTGGGGGATGGTGTTAATCTGGAAGGGAAGAAGACAGGTAGCAGTGGACGGCATCACAAGAATGGCAGGCACAAACCTGGGAGCCCAAGGCAGAGGGATTTGCTGTCTGCAGCAACCAGGAGCTTCCTGTTAGGCCAGAGGGTAGATATGGTTAGACAGCTACCAGGATTCCCCTGGATATTCAAGAACAAAGACACTACCTAAGGCCACGCGGATTGGAAAACACCTTCACCTTTCCCGTTCTATAGTATTGCTGTCACCTTCTTGAAGCACACACAGGGGATGCCCAGGACTGAGAGAGGAATGCAGGGGTGAGGTGGGAGGGAGGCTCCAACTGCTCAGGCTCTTTCTCAGATGGAAGGGGGTCCACGGTCTGGGGCTGCTCAGGAGTCTGAGTTGGTCTGTTTTCTTTGCAGTGTCACTGGGGGCTTCCTGTACTTCTCTCCACAAGGCTAGGAGATTAAGCTCCTTCTGCCTCTTCGGCAGCAAGCCGCAAGGGAAAAATCTAGAGACAAATAAGCTGAATCCACATTCGTCCTCCAGCTGAGTTACGTTGAGCAAGCTGCTAATCTCTCTCTGTATCCGAAAAATGAGAAAGATAATAAAATCTACGTTCAGGGCTGACTGAGATTCAAATGAGATAGTATGTATGAGAACTCTTCTTAAAGAATAAACTGTTGGGCAGGACGTGGTGGCTCATGCCTATAATCCTAACACTCTGGGAGGCCGAGGCAAGTGGATAGTTTGAGCTCAGGAGTCCGAGAACGAGCCTGAGCAAGAGTGAGACCCCATCTCTACTAAAAAGAGAAAGAAATTAGCTGGACAACTAAAAATACATAGAAAATATTAGCCGGGCATGGTGGCGCATGCCTGTAGTCCCAGCTACTTGGGAGGCTGAGGCAGGAGGATCGCTTGAGCCCAGGAGGTTGAGGTTGCTGTGAGCTAGGCTGACGCCACGGCACTCACTCTAGCCTGGGCAACAGAGTGAGACTCTGTCTTAAAAAAAAAAAAAAAAAAGGAAAAGAATAAACTGTCAATTCCCAGGGAATATTAAGCATCACCATTGTTCAGTCCTTGCTGTCTTGCTCCTGTGCCCGGCGCCCACTGCCTAGGGGTCTATCGAGCGTGCCTTCCCGCCTAGCTGGGGCCCTGGGGAGATGGAACCCCAGTGACGTAGAAGTAACAGGACAACCGAGACTCCGCTGGGGTTTCCTCCTGGGCTTACCAGGGCCAAAATAGGCCAGGGGCACACAGGCACTCTGAGGGCACCTACACCGGCACATCGCGATCACACAAAGTGCACACACAGCACCCAGAAACACACCACACACGTATGTGAACACAACACGTAAGCACGGTGTGTCTGGTCTGTAGCGGAATTAATGCCTAATGGATGGACGGCTAAGGAGCCAGGTGAGCTAAAGGAAAAGATCCTGAGTCTTCCGTTCCATTCTGACTGCAACTCGCTATGTCACCTTATGAAAGTCCCTTGCCCTCCCCTGCCAGTTCCTTCTTTCTCATTTGTAAACTAGTGGCAGTGTCAACTGCCCTCCCTACCCTATAGGGCTAATATAAGGATAAAATAAAATATTTTTCCATGGGACACAGAAGTCCAAAGTCCTATTTGTATTAAGGTAACACCAAGCTCTCGGCCATCTGTAATGAACTACTTAATAAACAGTCTCTATGGGTGTATAAAGTGCTTCAAAAGTTGAAAGTCTATGCAAATAGAAAGTTCTCTCCACAGGGCGCCATGGCTCACGCCTATAATCCTAGCACTCTGGGTGGCCCAGGCAGGCGGATCACTCAAGGTCAGGAGTTCGAAACCAGCCTGAGCAAGAGTGAGACCCTGTCTCTACTATAAATAGCAAGAAATTAATTGGCCAACTAATATATATAGAAAAAATTAGCCGAGCATGGTGGCGCATGCCTGTAGTCCCAGCTACTTGGGAGGCTGAGGCAGGAAGATAGCTTGAGCCCAGGAGATTGAGGTTGCTGTGAACTAGGCTGACGCCACAGCACTCACTCTAGACAGGGCAACAAAGTGAGACTCTGTCTCTGGAAAAAAAAAAAAAGAAAGAAAGTTCTCTCTTTGTCTACTATTAACATGCAAACACATGTGCCATGCAATATAGCACACACCAAGGTGATTTAAGGACCTCAGTACTTAGAATTGGATTAATTTTAATCTTCAATTTATGAGACACTCTCACTATTGGATCATTGGTTCATGGGTCTCCAGTTTTATTTATTAGTCAATAATTATAGTCAATAATAATAGTCAATAATTATTTTTAATAATGCAATAGGCACCTGTGGCCCACTACCCAAAATAAAAACTGGGACTTTGACAATAATATACATCTATCTACATGATTTCTACACACACACACCCTAACCCCTCCATGTCACCTGGCCCAAGACCCCTATGTTCACCTTTCCCTTGTTTTCCTTTTTATATATGAAGACATGTTTAAAGGTATCATAAAAGACGAAGCTCAAATTGTCTTAAAAGGGAGGTAAGTCAACAAGGGTGACTTCATCAGGAAGATGAAGTTAAAATAATGGAACACCTCATCATAGTTTCAAAGTCTTCCCAACCTTCTCATCATGGTGATAATGATGATGATGATTATCAAGGCCTTCCTCTGTGTCCAGTGCTGTGTTCATCCCTCCACCTGCCTTGTCTCATTTGCATCTCATAATGATCTGTGAATGGGGTTGCTAGCCGAGTGGGCCCATACCTATTTTCCTTCTCTTTGACAATAAAGAACCCCCAATATTTAGCCAAGCACTTGACTGCCTGGAATAACTATTACATTTCCTCATTTTCCGGCCTGCCTAACAGCTAGTTACATTCATGAGATTATTGAGTTCTAGCCAATGACTTGCAAATGGAAGTGGTTTAAGGGAAGAGATAGGTCCTCCTCATTTTCCTCCTCTTTTCTCTTTCCTGACGGCTGGAAGAAAAATCTAATGGCTAGAGCTTGAGCAGCTATCTTGGATCATGAAGTGGAAGCTACAGGTTAAGGATGACAGAGCAAAAGGACAGGAAGAGCCTGTGTCCTGGTAAGCATTGATCCATCTTATCAGCC